ATAAGGGCCCAGGCGACCTGTAGTTCGGATGCGGTGAATACCCTCACCCTCGCCACAACTCGAGTGGGGGCTGAGCTGGGTGGGAGGAAGGGTGCACTCGGCCCGAGCTGTGGCGAGGGTAAGGGTATTCACAGCATCAAAACTACATGTCGCCTGGGCCCTTATGTTGAGACCAATAGTACCACTGCCGTAGTTCTAAGACCATTTTTGTTGAAGGCATTTGCGAAAAAAATAAACCCCTGGCTCTGGGTCTTTGACCTGACCTCTGGCCTCAGGTCACCATAACTATTTTTCTATTTTTATGGGTCAAACGCTACGCAACCGTGCCCGTAATTTGCATTTATCTCTAAAACACTATTTTTGCAGCTATTTGACGTTCACGTCTGTGACGACGAAGTTTGCCGTGCGTGGGTCTGGAAAATCGACCCTGTGACGTCATCAAGGGGCTAGGTCCTTTTTTTACTTCAGAAGATGTCAAATTGATGGGAGAAAAGGTACTGAAAGTTTCGTCTTCCTATGCCTAAGCGTTCGGGAGCTATCGCCAATATTCGCCGGGGGGGGGGACAACGGCCCCCGTGCTCGTGCACACTTTGGAGACCGTCGCTAGCTGGCGTCGTATTTTTCTTTCGTAGAGGCGAAGAATGGCGAGGGATGGGTAGGGGATCTCAGAGTCGACCACCACCCGGATCAAGGGGTGACATGGCTTGACAAACGGCAAACGGCAGGAGCAATGTATTAACCCGCGCCCCGCTGGGCTATTCAGCCATACGCGCCCTGCTGGGGGAGGCAGATTCTGCCCCCCCCCCCTGTCTAACTTCCGAACCGATGGTCGTAGAAAGACGGGGAAAACGGCAATCGAAAGCTCTCAACAAGGCGGATCTTAAGAGCCCAAATTTTTTGCTTAAGTAGGTCAGAGGTCAGGTCAAGGTCAGGTCAAGGGTACAAAATGCAAGTTTCTACAGTATCGGCCTTGCACCGTAGTTGCCGAAGAATGGACTGAGACTGATTACCCAAAACGTGTTCTTAGACTACCAAGACAATATTCGTTACATACAATGTCATTCAAAGGTCAAGATCAAGGTCAGGTCAGGTCAGGTCAGGTCACCAAAAACAAAATATAGAAAAGGGCATGGGCGACACATGTTTTATGGGTCATTTTACTCATAGAATTTAATAGGCACACTCAATAGGTGATATGGACCACCTCTGGATGAATTTCAGGTCGAGGTCAGGTCAAGGTCAGGTCAAGTGAGGTCAAATTTTGAAGTTGGTTGTTTAGGCCTAAAAAGGTGTCTATCTGATGCAGTTTTTCACGGCGAATCGAATGGTGCTATTTTGGTTTCCGTACGCGGTCTAGAACTTTCAAAACATCATTTTTTCAAAAAAAAATAATGTGTCGTGACGTCATAAAATTTTGAATAACTCCCACATTTTTGAACCGATTCTTTTAAAAATTGGTATGTAGGTGCACATAGACCACTTCTCTGACATATATCCTGGTTTTTTCGATACACTCAAAATTTTGGATTTTATAATTATTTTCCAAAAAAGGCAGTTTTTTGAGAAAAAAATTGGGCCAAAATCCAAAATTTTCAAAAATTCGAGATATCCATTTGATAGACAAAGTAGAATCACGTATAACCTTTTTTTGTTACGTCTTGATTTCTTTAAAAATGAAGATGTTAGCGGCGTTTGAAATTTTGCCGTTTTTGAGGCGAAAATGGCGAACATGACGTCACTAAAACGTCAATTTCTCAAAAAAATTCCGACGGATTTCGCTCAAATTTTCAGGGAACGTGTCAAATTGATGTATGATAAGGTACTGAAAGTTTGACGTCGCTGGCGTAACGCGTTTAGAAGTTATTGGCGAAAAACGGGAGGGGGCAGATTCTGCCCTCCCCCAGCGGGGCGCGGGTTAAGTTATTAACCCTCGCCCGCACATGCTATTTCCCCATCCTACCGGTAGAACGCACATGGGGGGGGGGGGGTTGCCCTCCCCCTCCGCGCCATTTCGTTCCTGTTGGAGATAGAGCTTCGCGGTAAAGAGCAAAAAGATTATTTGGGAAGAGACGAATCCAATGATGCCCATTTTAACCTTCTCAGGTCAGTCATTGACCTTCCAGTTCAGGTCAAACTAAAAAAATGTTGCTGTTTTGGGTCACCGTTGGATATCAAGTGCGCTGCTCACCATATACCGATGACAATGCCGTTTTGTGGTGCACAGCAAGCTAGAACCTCTTTTTCACACTATCCGACCAGGTTTTTGCTGCTGAGGTCATTTCAGGTCAAGTTAGGTCAAGGTCAATGATATGTGTTTGTATGTCTGTGTGTGTCTGTGTGTATACTGATGTGTGCACCGATTGTTTATGTGTCTATATTACATGAGATCATGAAATGAGAAACTTTTACCAAAAATACAGTCAAAGAAACTTCACGAAAAGTAAATTCAGCTTGCCTAAAACGCATTTTTTAGATGACCTAGGTTGACCTTGACCCTGACCTTGACATACCGGGTGATCATTTGGGAATGAGATAAAGTAAGTGGCACGTGCAGATGTGTATTCAATAGCACACCAGACAAAAGACGCGCCATTAGACTCGTCATCGTGGGACATTTTGTACTGCACACTATTATACACCTGCAAGCCACTGTTCATCTACAGCAGGTGCTCAAAGTGGCCACCCCCTTCTGAGCGGCACAGCTCAGCCCGACGGCGTGTGTGACGCGCCATCTTTCGCAGCTGCTCTTCGTCCATGTTGCGGGCGAAGTCCTCAACCAGTTCCTTCAGCTGTGCCAGCGTTTGGGGCTCGCTGCGCACGATCTGAGCCGTCACCAACGACCAGAAACAAAAGTCCAGACAAGACAGGTCGGGACTGTACGGCGGCCATCGGTGTTCACTGTTCCGGGAGATGACGCGGCCGCCGAACTTCGAGTGGAGGAAGTCCATCACGGGAGCAGTGACGTGCGGCGGCGCGCCGTCCTGCTGGAACCAGTACTGGTGGCGCGTCGCCCGAGCCTTCACCGCAGGCCACACCACCGTCTGCAGCATCTCCAGGTAGGCGTCGCTGTTGACGGAGCCAGTGAACCAGTGAACTGGCAGGCACTTCCCATCCACCACGCCCACCCACGCCATCACCTTCTACCCCTGGGCCTTCTTGCATGGCACGAGCTTGTTCGGATTCTCTGGCGACCAGCACACGGTGTTCTTCTTGTTTGGAGACGGATGCAGAACAAACCACTTTTCGTCACTCCAGAGTACACGCTCAAACCACTCCTCATCATGGGTTAGCCAGAATTCACAGGAGTCCATCCTGGCCATCCGCGTCATCTCCCGGAACAGTGAACACCGATGGCCGCCGTACAGTCCCGACCTGTCTTGTCTGGACTTTTGTTTCTGGTCATTGGTGACGGCTCAGATCGTGCGCAGCGAGCCCCAAACGCTGGAACAGCTGAAGGAACTGGTTGAGGACTTCGCCCGCAACATGGACGAAGAGCAGCTGCGAAAGATGGCGCGTCACACACGCCGTCGGGCTGAGCTGTGCCGCTCAGAAGGGGATGGCCACTTTGAGCACCTGCTGTAGATGAACAGTGGCTTGCAGGTGTATAATAGTGTGCAGTACAAAATGTCCCACGATGACGAGTCTAATGACGTGTCTTTTGTCTGGTGTGCTATTGAATACACATCTGCACGTGCCACTTACTTTATCTCATTCCCAAATGATCACCCGGTATGTACATCGTCTAACAGCATGTTCCATGATAGGTGGGAGGTAAGACTGGTAAAAAAGGCCGAAATCAACGTGTCAAAATCTCACAAGACCCATAGCCAAGGCAAGATATTGGGTATTTGTCCTTTGGGTCATGACATGACCTGAAGAACAAGGTCATATCTCCGAAACAAAAAACCACAGAAACTTGAAATTTTCAGTGGACATCAAGAAAGGATAGAGGAGCAGCTATACGAAAAAAAAATCAGGCTTCTAGCTCTAAAAATGTTGAGTTGCTGAGTGCAGAGCAGAAAAACTACCTGGGGAGGGGATGGCACCCCCCCCCCCGCATGTGCGTGCGAGGGTTAACGATAGCGAGGTAGGCATTGCGTTGAGTACGCCGCTGCGGCTATGTATACCTAGTACCTACCTCCTGTTGTGGTGCGCGCCGCCGGCTGCTGACAGTAGGTGTGCTGGCCGCCGACAGCCGGCCGCTGCGGCTGTGTATACCTCCTGTTGTGGTGCGCGCCGCCGGCTGCTGACAGTAGGTGTGCTGGCCGCCGACAGCCGGCCGCTGCGGCTGTGTATACCTCCTGTTGTGGTGCGCGCCGCCGACTGCTGACAGTAGGTGTGCTGGCCGCCGACAGCCGGCCGCTGCGGCTGTGTATACCTCCTGTTGTGGTGCGCGCCGCCGGCTGCTGACAGTAGGTGTGCTGGCCGCCGACAGCCGGCCGCTGCGGCTGTGTATACCTCCTGTTGTGGTGCGCGCCGCCGACTGCTGACAGTAGGTGTGCTGGCCGCCGACAGCCGGCCGCTGCGGCTGTGTATACCTCCTGTTGTGGTGCGCGCCGCCGGCTGCTGACAGTAGGTGTGCTGGCCGCCCCGCTGCGGCTGTGTAATGTGTAATGTGTATACCTCCTGTTGTGGTGCGCGCCGCCGGCTGCTGACAGTAGGTGTGCTGGCCGCCGACAGCCGGCCGCTGCGGCTGTGTATACCTCCTGTTGTGGTGCGCGCCGCCGGCTGCTGACAGTAGGTGTGCTGGCCGCCGACAGCCGGCCGCTGCGGCTGTGTATACCTCCTGTTGTGGTGCGCGCCGCCGACTGCTGACAGTAGGTGTGCTGGCCGCCGACAGCCGGCCGCTGCGGCTGTGTATACCTCCTGTTGTGGTGCGCGCCGCCGGCTGCTGACAGTAGGTGTGCTGGCCGCCGACAGCCGGCCGCTGCGGCTGTGTATACCTCCTGTTGTGGTGCGCGCCGCCGACTGCTGACAGTAGGTGTGCTGGCCGCCGACAGCCGGTCGCTGCGGCCGCTGGCCGGCGGCGCCGCCACGCGCGGCCTGCGCATCTACACCAAGACGGGCGACGGCGGCACCTCCAGCACGTTCACCGGTCAGCGGCTGCCCAAGGACGACGCCCTGTTCGAGGCGCTCGGCTCTGTGGACGAGCTGTCGGCCACCGTCGGGTGAGCGTCCACACCAGCGCACCAGTGCACGCACTCCCAAGCTTATGTATACCTAAAAGGCGTGAAATGGATATGGCAGCACTGTAAGGCTGGATGTATAGCACGCAATCTTTTAAAGGCCGTGAGATCGAAAGCACGGCACGCTATTTACTGTACTTGGTAGCCGCCGGTTTTTGAGGATGCCGTAGAATGATTTCACCCGTGAGCAGCTGCGCACATCTCAAAACACCGACAATAACCAGTATAACGCCTTTTGGGGCGACTAACGGAGCGAGCGAGAGGGTGGGCCTTGCACGTGCGAAATTGCGAGGGGGTGCCTCCAACTGACTTGTGCACGGCACCCTTCTAACCGGTCTCTAGCGATGTGCCAAATTTGAGCACAATCGGTCCAGCTGTTCTCGAGATTTGGAAGCGGCACCCTGCACGTGCGCACGTGCAAAATGGGTCCCAACTGACTTGTGCACGGCACCCTACTAACTGCTCCGTAACCGTGTACCAAATTTGAGCACAATCGGTCAAGCCGTTCTCGAGATCTGGATCGACCCCTGCACGTGCGCACGTGCAGCAGCACCCCAACTCTGGCACATGGATATGCATTGCCTAGTGGGTGCCTACCTACATGCCAACTTTCAGCGCAATCGGCCAGGCAGTTACCGAGATATTGCAACTATTACAAAAGTGACACCTCTTCGTTTTGCACGTGGCACGTGCATAAGGGGTCACCCACATGCATCGGGAATAGTCCAATACTTATTATAGGATTAAATTGGACTTACTCCACAAGAGAATCGTTTTCGGTCGGAGCTTTCGACATGTATTACATGTCCTCTTCAGCGAAGGTCGGTAATCGGGGCGAAAATAAAACGTTCGGGTCGAATCGAATCGCACAAGATGTCGGTGAGCTGCGCAGAGTTATTTAGGCCGCTTGAATTATAAAATAAGCAAGACTGAAACACGTGACGACAATAAAAGTACACTCAATGAGAAAGTCTACCAAAAAACAAGAACGCATACCACACTAATAAAATCCTAAAAATATAGAAATCAATACATACTATCTCGGTACAGAAATATAAAACGTTATACATACCTATAAATACCACAAAAGTTAAAAACTACAAAGATGCTAAAGCAGGTGGGGTACAAAAGTGTAAAGAGATCAATATAAAAAACACTATCACACGATATAAATGTTTAAAACACTATAAAACTACTGGCAAACACGACGAATTATTGGCAGCCAGCGGTCTTGCAGCAGCGCACCTGAGTTTCTGTTCACATTCGCATCATTAGGCGACACCAAGACGGCCTCCCGCCGTCCCACAGTCCGGATGTACGCCGACTCGAGCAGCAGTCGCATCTGGTAGTGGTTGGCTCGATTTAGTACCTTGACCTCATCGAAGGCAGGTGAACAATCCCTGTGAGCACTGAAGGCCGATGCGTTGGCTCGGCCTTCGCATCGGCTGCACAGGATCATCTGCCAAGTTGACGGTGATCCTGTGGTCTACATCGGCGAGACAGACCGTGAGCTAGGAACCAGAGTCAGAGAACACCGGGAGAGCTGGACTGGAGCTGTTCGCTCGAGAGCCAACGCATCGGCCTTCAGTGCTCACAGGGATTGTTCACCTGCCTTCGATGAGGTCAAGGTACTAAATCGAGCCAACCACTACCAGATGCGACTGCTGCTCGAGTCGGCGTACATCCGGACTGTGGGACGGCGGGAGGCCGTCTTGGTGTCGCCTAATGATGCGAATGTGAACAGAAACTCAGGTGCGCTGCTGCAAGACCGCTGGCTGCCAATAATTCGTCGTGTTTGCCAGTAGTTTTATAGTGTTTTAAACATTTATATCGTGTGATAGTGTTTTTTATATTGATCTCTTTACACTTTTGTACCCCACCTGCTTTAGCATCTTTGTAGTTTTTAACTTTTGTGGTATTTATAGGTATGTATAACGTTTTATATTTCTGTACCGAGATAGTATGTATTGATTTCTATATTTTTAGGATTTTATTAGTGTGGTATGCGTTCTTGTTTTTTGGTAGACTTTCTCATTGAGTGTACTCTTATTGTCGTCACGTGTTTCAGTCTTGCTTATTTTATAATTCAAGCGGCCTAAATAACTCTGCGCAGCTCACCGACATCTTGTGCGATTCGATTCGACCCGAACGTTTTATTTTCGCCCCGATTACCGACCTTCGCTGAAGAGGACATGTAATACATGTCGAAAGCTCCGACCGAAAACGATTCTCTTGTGGAGTAAGTCCAATTTAATCCTATAATATCTATTTGCTCTCCACACTAACATGTCTCTAAGTCAGTCCAATACTTGGTAGAAGGAATGAAGCTACCCTACAAAAATTACCGCATGTAAATCGGTCAAGTGGTTGCTGAGATATAAGCCTCGCAAAAGCGTGACCACGGCCGGCCGGCCGGCCGGCCGCTCATACTCGGAAATTTCCGTTAAAGGTAGTGTGCCACCTTTGAAAGATTTCCCATTTTATTTTTCCTAGGATAAGAAGCTTCTGTTTTTACCTAATATCGCAAAAAAAAAAATCAAAAATGGGCCTGGAATAGTGCCTTTTTCGCCTAAAAGTTTTTCGGTTTTTAGATATGTATAACAACTGTAGTGGGCTCACCTGCAAACAGGCGTCGGGCAACAATCGCGAATGCGGCGCACTTGTGACAATAAGCAAAGGTCATTATAGTGTTACGACCATACGACGTACGGGAATGAGTTACCAGTATAACGCCTTTTGGGGCGACTAACGGAGCGAGCGAGAGGGTGAGCCTTGCACGTGCGAAATTTTGAGGGGGTACCTCCAGCTGACTTGTGCACGGCACCCTACTAACCGGTCTCTAGCGATGTGCCAAATTTGAGCACAATCTCTGGCACATTGATATGCATTGCCTAGTGGGTGCCTACCTACATGCCATTTTTCAGCGCAATCGGCCCAGTAGTTACCGAGATATTGCAACAATTACAAAAGTGACACCTCTTCGTTTTGCACGTGGCACGTGCATAAGGGGTCACCCACATGCATCGGGAATAGTCCAATACTTGGTAGAAGGAATGAAGCTACCCGGCTACAAAAATTACCACATGTAAATCGGTCAAGTGGTTGCTGAGATATAAGCCTCGCAAAAGAGTGACCACGGCCGGCCGGCCGGCCGCTCATACTCAGAAATTTCCGTTAATCTAAGGAAAGACTACGCTCGCTTCACTCGCTCCGTAATCAGCTGTCTAATCGTAGACAACACAATGTCGAGCCTTAAACTGTAAGCCCGTATTGGTATTGTTTCTTTTATTTGGCTGTCGAACATTATTTATGGTTTGAAATATGATTTTATGTAAAATAATTGATATGAAAAAGCCGTCTTATAAGTTATGACCCCATTTCACCACACGCAAGTGGCAGAAACACGGACGTATAATTAAACTGGACCCGCAACACGGACGTATAATTAAACTGGACCCGCAACCACCTCCATTCAGGTGAAGCCGACAAGGCGCCATTTTACGTTGCCAAAAACCCGTTCTCTGAAAGGTCATCGAACCATTACAATTGGAATTGCGTCTAAACGGATGATCGGATCGAGATGCTGGTGATACCGTTCGATGGTTAATGCTTTGAGGCAGGTGATGATGCATGTCACAGGTAATTTGGTGTCACGTGGCGCGTGCCACGTGCCGACAAAGTCGGGAAGGGCAAAAACCTTTAAGCGACGCTCCAAATTAAACGGTGGACGGCACAGGTGCCAAATTCACAGGTCACATGTCCCGGTGTTTGACCATTACCATATGGTATGCTCGGCAGCAGGGGGTGCGGAATGCACGCGCCAGGGGCGAAAAACATGTTTTGAGGATGCATCCTCCGCTTCCGGAAAACCTTGACCTAGGCACACCAAATTTGGCACACTGACACTACTGAACGAGCGCTTTAATTGGCGCTGTGCAAATAGATGTGCTGGGGTACACGGTGCACGTGCTGTGCACGTGCACACCTTTTGATGTTGCACTCTGTGTCACATATACGGGCAGAGCGGGTAGCGCTAGCAAGCTCAAAGCGCCAAATTTACACAGGCCGCCCAGAATGCATTCCAGCATAGTTATTGAGCATATCTATCTCCTGGTGGACCCCAAAGGTGCGCTCTGCACGTGCAAAAAACTATCCGCGCCGGGCGGTGGGGATGCTTGGACACCCCATGTAGGTTTATGTAAATATCTCGAAAACGGCGTTGTGGAGCGCCACCGTTTTTAGCACACCCTTTCATGAATCTTTTTCACACATGCTGCATAACTTTCAGACCCAGGTCACTCAAGGTTAGGTCACCAGGTTACGTCCAAGTGGCCTTACCTTAGGAAAAGTTATAATGCCCGTCATAGCTACACAGACTGAACAATCGGTCTAAAACGTTGGCGGCGATTACTAAGAGCACCATATAGGTATGCGTAAAGTATCTTATCCATAGTAAAGTATCAATTATCCATATTAAAGTAGCTTATCCATAGTAGGTGTCAACCACCACTGATGGCGTCGTAGCATGTTACGAAGGCACTAAAACTATAACTTCTTAAATGTTAAACTGAATTCTAAATTCGAAATCAGCTCCAAAAACTGTCCTAGAAACGTGTAAAACTCGAAAAGGTGAACCAAGGTCAGTAAAGGTCAGTGACCTTGACCTAATTTTCACGTGACCTTGACACCCACCATATTACATGTGACCAACATCATATCACATGTTTGAACACTCGAAACCACGAAAAGACAGCAAACGCGCTGCTAGTGCGCGCCGACGTACGCCGAATCACGATTCCGGCCAAACATGGTCTCGTAATAATAACATATAACATGCTGATTTACCGCTTTTCAGTCAAGTTAGAGCCATTTCTTCTTGGCCGCGGTCACCGGTCCAGGCCACCACATAATCGTATTACACCGCGCTTGCTCAATGCTCAGTTCGTATTGTAAAAGCACTGCGGCACAGCATAGATGCAGGC